AACTTAAATAATATATAAGATTACATAAAAAATTACATAAAAAATTATTTTTAAATCATTTTTATTAATAAAACTATATCACCTCTCGTTTATCTAAATTTTCGATCCCTAATTTCCTAAAAAAAGAAAAAAATTTCGATCCCTAATTTTCGTCTAACAGTATTACTCTATTTTTTTTGTCAGAGGAAAATAAATGGGGTCAATATGGTTTTTGAACGAGGATTAGGTGAGGTTTGGTGGGCTGATGTCGAGTTGACTTGGGCTGACATTTTTGGACCGGGTTTGTGGAGATGGCTGGAACTTAAAAGCGGGCTTTCTTGTTGGCATCTGGTGGGCTTTTAGACAATTTGGGTTTACTTTGTAAGCTCTTGAACACCATTGGATCAATTGTTTTACGAGCTTTATCTCAAAAGCCGCCTAACTTTATGAGTTTTGTGCTATTTGATCCATTTCTTCTTTGCCCGTTTGCCATTTATTCCTCCATTTGCCGAACTTCTACACATAAGTCGGATTTTACCATTTTTCTTCAAAATTCCAACCCGAACATCATTTATTTTTATGATAAAGCCTTGAAACATGAAAATAAATTACATTAAAATAATTTTAAGAAATTTTTAATTCTTTAATTTATTCATTATATTATTTAGACATATTTTTTTGTAAAAATTTAAGTTATGATAGATGAAAAATTAAAATAAGAAAAAATAATGACAAGTTTAAAGTTAATGAAAAATAGTAAAATTAAAGAAGGAAAAAAATATTTGTCCTATTTAAAAGAATTAAAAACGATAATTGAGTTTAGATAAATTTTGAGCAAAAAATATATAGAAGTTTTTAGCGCAAAGAAAAGTATAAGTTGCTCTATGGATTTGTAGAGGTTAAAATACCAATTTAGCCTCTCAACTTTTAAATTTGTATCAAAATTGTCTCTTAACTTCAAAGAGTATCAAAATTATTCTTGAACTTTAATTTTTAATATCAAGAAAGTCTTTCCCGTTAATAAAAATATCATGTAACTCATTATTTTGACATAACATCAATTATTTTAAAATACTAATGACATATAAAGTACAATCATATTTTAAAATCATGATATATTTTTATTTACAAATCATATTAATATATAATTAAAATTAAAAGACTAAACTGATATTTATAATGAAAGTTCAAGGACTAAACTGGTCTTTGTCTTCTATGTTTAAGGACAATTTGGTATTATCTTCAAAGTTTAAGGACTATTTTGGTATATTAAATTAAAGTTTAGGGATAATTTTAATAAATTTAAAGTTAAAGGACAATTTTAATATAAATATAAAAGTTGAGGGACTACATTGGTATTTAACCATTTGTGGACAAGCGCTAACAACCTAAATTCGAGTAACCCATCTTGCCACAGTATTTTAAATTGTAAGTTATTTAGTTCAATTAGAATTTGTTAATTTTAAATCACAGTAGTGTTTAAGTCTTTAGAGTGGTCCAAGACAAATTTCGTAACCCATTTTGCAGAAAAGTATCCCCTCCCTCTTGCAAATCATCTATAGGCGCAGATTTCAATTTTAATTCAACATTCTTCCCACCATCCATTAAGGAGGTCAACCGTGAGAAATGAGAGGGTCATTAAAAAAGTCCTCATTTCTTACTTTCAACAAAGTAAGTTACATGCTCGCATCTAAATTTCATACGTGCGAGACCACTAGAAGATTTTTAAGGATACACTAATATTAATTTTACCATTGTTATTAAGTAGATGAATTTAATTAAATTGTTGATAACTTGAAGATTAATTTTTTTATTTTGTTAACACAAATTTAAGAGAAAAATATATATTTATTATACTATCAATTTGCACCTTTGGGATGCAGAATAGAAAAACCCATTAAAATTAAGTAAAACTAATTAATCAACACTTTCCATAAAAAAAATATTAATCAATACTAAGTTTTTCAATTCTATGCCCTTAATTAAAGGCCTTAACTTTATAGGGTATGATTAATATATTTTTTAGTTTTTAATTTAAGGTTTTTTTGAGACTGTTTTTCAATACTTTAGCTCTTAATTTATATGCTACAATTACAACTTAGTCATGTCAAAATTGTAAAACTTGCTATTCATTTTAATAACAATGTTGTCAACCACCTAAATAGTTTTAATGGTAATCTCTATTAATTTGATCAAATAAAAGTAAAATTTTTAATTTTTAATACAAATTAATTAGTAAAATGTGTATTAATTGAGTTCAATTTAGACTAACTAACTTAATGGAATATTTTTAAATTGAGTCACTTGAGGTTTCCTGGGCTTCAGCTCATTTTATCTCTTGGTTTTCTTTTTTTCGAAATTCAAAACCCGGCCCAAAACAGCTTAAGCCCCAAGTTAAACGGATCTATTCGACCCGACAAGATGAACAGGCCAGAACGGATCGAAAGCAGGCGTCAAACACATACTTTTTGTTCCTCAACGATTCAAAGACAAAAAAAAAAAAACCTTAAATCGATCAATCTACCGGAAATCCGGCGGAATCTATTGATTCCGGCCGGACTCGGGCTAGAATTTCAAAATTCTATCTGGGAAAAAAAAAAGAAACAAATGCAGAAAAAATCCCATAAATTCGCAGATAATACAGGGATCCAAATCACAGTAAAATGAAGGATTTCGAGGTTAAGTTGGTCCCACAATACAATCAAAAAGCAATTTTTAAGAAAAGGGTTGTGCAAAAATAGCAACACTATAAAACTCTAAATTTGTTTTACAAATTAAAAAATATATATATATATATATATATATTAAACAGAGTCTATTATTAAATAACTCAAGATCATCTCATAAATATAATAGAATGTAACTTAAATTACAAGATAACTTTTAATTAAAACTTTATTAAAATTTCTTGAAAGAAATTACTAAATGCACATAATCGTACCTTAGGATTTCAATTCCACTATTAGATTCAAGCTCAGGGGAAATCGACGCCGAAAAGGTCACCAGAATCTTAGAATCAGAGAAAGAATGAAAACCGCCAGAGATCTCCTTTTGTGGGTGTCGGCGAACCCCCTCTCTTAGTCTCTTTTTTGTTCACCGTTTTTCACCTTCCCTCATCTTCACCATTAAATTCTCTCTTCCCTCCATCTCCACCTTTGCACGTAAGGGAACTAAA